CGGCATGGGGTCCGGTGGCCGGGCGAGGCGGCAGCGGCGGCTGCAGCTCCGCGCACACAAAGCCCAGGGCCGGGGCCTGAACCGGGGAAGGCAGACCCGGAGGAGCCAACGCTTCCTTACTCGCCACTCTAACGGGTCCGGCCCACTGAGCATGCCCAGCACCGCTGCCAGGCCCGCGAGGAATCTCAACGTGCACGCTCCGCTCTCCGGGGTTTAGCGCCAGCAGAGGCTGGGGGCAGGGCGCAGCGAGCAGGACGCAGCCGCAAGGCAAGCCCCTTCCCCCAGCCAACTTCCTTAAGCCCAGAGACGGCAGAACGCGCAGAAGCGGCTTTCCACCCCAAAAGTCTGGCGGGTGTTCCCAACCATACCCAGGCGTCCTTAGTGGACTCGAACTCTCAAGGTTTCACCCAGGGATGAAAGTGGGTGGCCATGCCGCGAAGTTCACGTGTAGAAGCAGGCACATGGTAAGGTGTGCCTGCAAATAAAGTTTCTGCTTCCCAGGGTCACCCTTGCCACTTGACGCTGTAAAAGTTGATCTTGTTTCATGTTACCTTGATGTAGCTTCGTGTCTAATCTCCCTAGCTAAAGTGTGAAGCAATAGACTCTGATATTCCCAACTGTACAATGGGGATGGCACTCAAGGGGTGTACCTAGAATAAGAGTTACTTCATTTAAAGAGCCTGATAGGAAGCTCAGTAGTAAAACATCCTCAGTTCAATCCCCCCAGCCTCCCGTACAAAAAAATCCTGAAGGATGTAACGTATACATATAACAAACATTAGTTATGTCAGCGTTCACTTGCCATCTTATAAATCCCAGTATTCCATATATGTATCAGCACAGAATTACAAATTGGAACTCTAAGAAATTGCTATTGTTATTAAACATACCAGTTCAAAACCAGGAAGACAGTAAGAGAGATTTGCATATCTTCAAAAAAAGATTTGGGCCTAGAATCATAAAATTGTTATACCTTAGATTCACATTTAAACAGGCCTTTGGCAATGTCCAAAATAGAGGACTGGCTGCCTCCTATTCAAGTTTAGGTTTCTATAGTGCCATTAATAAGGTTTTTTTTTTTTAATGGCACTATTCTGCCCTTCTCCTTCTCCCATCTTTTCAAACTTTAGGGCCCAAGGATTTTATAAGAGATCCCTGTCCTAAAACCTGGTCTAATAATGGTACACTTCTGAATTGCACAGGCTTTTCTACACAGCTATTAAGCTAAAATCTCCACTGAGTATTTGTCTTTATGCAAATTTTACCTTAATTTCACCACTAACCTGCTCAAATATTAAAATATTGTGCAGTCAAAAGATAAAATGGCATACTGAATTAAAACAAATAATTTTTCTTTTAAATGACATACTGGATAGCTAAAGCCACCTTAGGGACAATCAAAAAAGAAGATGAACTCTAATTCCATGGTGCTCTTTCCAGAGAACCAAAACTCAGTGACAACTGATGAAAAGGTCAACTTTTCATTGTAAATTTCAAGAACAAGGAAACTTTTTTAAGTGCTATTGTGACAGCTCTTGTGGTGGTTTATTACTGATATTGTTTCTATGGTAAAATTGGAGAGGCTGGATACAATGAACAAAGAAAGTTTCATATTTCAAGCCCTTTGAATTAGAACAGGAGATTTGTATCCTGGCCCTGTCATTCATCATCTGTGTGATCATAGGCATCTAGTAATTCAACCTGCTTTTCAAGCCTTGGTTCTCTCATCTGTCAAATGCAAACAGCAGTAGAAATCTCACAGCTTGCTATGAGAATCTTATATATTAGGGTATGTGTAAACAGTTTTGTTCCTGTCATCATCCTTTCTGCCTAGGCACAACAATCTTAGTTCCAAACTACTAATCTAATTTAAAATTAAGCTTCCTCACTATTAAAATGCTCAATTGAACACTTTTATATATATATATATATATATATATCTTTATGTCACTTATTTTTATGTGTGCTGAGAATCGAACCCAGGGTCTCGCACATGCAAGGCAAGTGCTCTACCGCTGAGCCACAGCCACGGCCCCTGAACACTTCTTTCTTCAAATGATTTTTCTAACTGATCAAATGCTGAACAAAGACCATAATGCCAAATAAAATGAAAGGTTAGGGGATCATCTATTACCTCTCGAATGCTCTCAACTACATCATTATTCCCCATCTACCTTATTCTGGCTACATTATTCAAGCAGACTCTTGAAAGAAATAAATTGAAACGATTCACGTATCCATCGCCCCTAAATTGATTCATATAATGGAAAATACTTTGTATTCCAAGAGAATCTTATTTGGCAATAGTGTACAATTCTCATGTTATTAACAATTTCCATTATATCCACCTGTAATTTGAGTTTGACATTCCATAAACACTTCATAGTAAGAGCAAAGGAGGAATCTTCATTAATAGTCCTTATGAGGCACAGGCTTCAAAAAATAAGAAGCAGTCACAGAACCAAACATTAATGCACTTCTGGAGCAGCATATCCAACATTCACTGCAGCAGTTTCTATAAACAAATAACTGGAATTAACCACAATGTCCATCAATCAGGCTTGTTCAAGGAGATACACATGAAAAGAATGTGGTGGAGGAATATACTGGTATGGAAAGACTCCAAAACATCGAAAAAATGAATTGCAAAATAGTATGTAAAGTATCCTACCATTTGTGTAAAAATAAATACATGTTCCTACACTTGATATACTGTGGAATACTTCTAGAAGAAAGCAACAAACTGGTAACAGTAATTGTAGCTATGCCGCAAGGATGGAACAAGGATTTAACCTTTTCAATGTATATATTTGTGTATCTTTTGAACAACTTTATGTCATATACACATACTACTTATACTAAAAAATACCTAATTTATTGAATTTTTAGGCTTGATTTTTATATGTACATGACAATAATTGACTTTAGACTTTATTTATTCATAGCTTTAGAAGCCCCATACCTCTGAAAGCCCTGTAGGTCAAAAAAACATTCTAGAACATTACCACAATATTCCAAACAAATCTGGGTTAAGAGTTTAGCATAGACTATTGTGATTTCAATTGAAACTGATACACTAACCTATAATCAGTCAACTTTGCCACTTTTAGCTATACAAACCAAATTTATTGACATTTATTAAACACTACATACCTTATACTAGGCTAAGTACTTCATCTAAGTCATTGATTATATGATATGTAATACTGAGAGTCAAACTGAGTGCCTCACACATGCTAAGCAAGCGCTCTGCGACCAAGCCACAAGCCCAGACGCCTAGTACTTTATCTAATGATATCTCACATAAGATGTAAATTTGTTCATTTTCAATGTTTTAGAATGAAATTTTTATATGTAAAACTTTGTTTTCAAAGTTGTTGTTGCTATTTGGAATTCCCAGAAATTAAATGACCGCAAAAAAGATGCAAGCTTTTTTAAAGACTGACAAGTTGTTTTTAAAGCAGGAAGATCACAAATTCAAAGCCAGCGTCATCAACTCAGTAAAACACTGTCTTAAACTTTTTTTAAAAAGGCTGGGAATGTAGTTCACTGATAAAGCATTCTTGGGTTCTATCCCCAATATGAGTAAAGTGAGATAATACAGAATTCCAAAGAATTTAACCCAAAGGAATTATAGAAATCAGAGTATGATCAAGTTAATAGACTAGCATTTTTAACTTTCAAAAAAAAAATGTGCACAATGTGTGTCACTTATGATTCCCTACTCTGACTCACATTTTCATCTACCAGCCATGTAAGAGGGCTTTTATTGTACACATATAGGGCTGACTGACTTTTCCCCTAAGAAAATATTTGGGAATACCTGGGAGATAATATAGTATTAAACTGAGTTTAAATCCCTATCCCAAATTTACTTCCTCTGTATTTTGCTAGCAGCTCACATGCTCCTTAGTACCTATGCTAGGGACAATGTAAAATTCTTCTACATTTAGTGCAAGTTAAACAAACCTGCTTCCTCATCTAAGAATGAAGTATTAAAATCTCTGGGTGTGATGGTGCACACCCATAATTCCAGTAACTCAAGAGGCTGAGGCAGGTAGAATCACAAGTTTGAAGCCAGTCAGGGCAACTTAGCTAATTCTTTCTCACCAAAAAAATAAATAAGGAGGGCTGGAGATATAGCTCACTGGTAGAACACCTCTAGGTTCAATCCTCAGCACCTCATGAAAAATGTTGAACCTACCTCTGGGCTAGGGTATACCTCAGTTGTAGAACCTGTGCTTAGCACACATGAGGACCTGGGGTCAATCCCCAGCAGACAAAAACAAATAAACCTGCTTCAATCCAGGCCAATGGCACACTCCTATAATCTCATCTGCTTGGAAGGCAGAGGCAGAAGAATCACACAAGTTTGAGGCCAGACTAGACAATTTAGCAAGACCGTGTCTCAAAATAAAATTTAAAAAAGGGTTAAGGATGTAGCCCAGTAGTACAGCACCTCTGGATTCATTCCTTAGTAACCCCCCACACCCGAATTAAACCTACTTCAAACTTCAGGAGGTGATAAATGTTTAAAGCCTTGATATAGTTTCACTAGTGTATATGTATTCTGAAACACATCAAACTGTATCCAATAAATATGTAAAGCTTTTTACAAATCAATAATGCCACAATAAAATATTTTAACAAAATGGGTACAATTTTTTTCTAAATATCTACCTCATAGGTTGAAGATTCTTTTTTCTCCCCTTTCTTGAAGATAATTCAATAGAGCACTAGAAGTATTGAAACAGTAGGAATAGTAGTATATAACCTGCACTTCCAAAACTAAAATAATACCTTCTGAGTGGTCCCTAACCAGAGGTATGTATCAGACCACCTTAAAGAGTTTTCATCAATGGGGCTGTGGTTGTGGCTCAGTGGTAGAGTGCTTGCCTAGCATGTGTTAGACACTAGGTTCAATCCTCAGCACCACATAAAAATAAATAAGTAAAAAAAGGTATTAAAAAAAAAAGTTTTCAACAAGTATATTCTATCCCAACTGAATCATGCTCTCAAGGCACATATATTTATAGATCATATAAATACATAAATAACCTATAAACCTATATTTACAAGTTTATAAATATATATATGTATATATGTGTGTGTGTATGTATGTATGTGTATATATATATATATATATATATATATAAAAATGTATGTGAACCTTAACATTTCAGCTTGGAGACACAAGACTTCAGAATGCTTCCAATGCAG